GTAGAAAAAATAAAGATGAGAATGAAATATATTCAAATTTCATAGTGAAGAGGTTAAAAGCTTGAGCTTTGGAGTCACAATGGCATGTTCAAATCTACACTTTGTCACTTACTAGCTCTACTTTATTTTTAAAAAATATAGTCAGAGTCTCTCACTTTGTCACCCAGGATGGAACTCCTGGGCTCAAGGGATCCTCCTATCTCAGTCTCCTGAGCAATTAGGACTACAGGTATGTGCTAACACACCCAGCTAATTTTAAGATGTTTTTGTGATGATAGGGTCTTACTATGTTTCCCAGGTGGGTCTCAAACTCCTGGCCTGAAACAATCCTCCTACCTCAGCCTTCCAAAGTGCTAGGATTACAAGCGTGAGCCACTGTGCCTGGCTGCTCTATGACTTCTTTAAGCTCCTGTTTCTTCATCAGTAAAATGCAAATAGTGATATACCTACATTATGGGATTAATGGCATTGACTAAATGAGACAATGCACCTAAAATGCTTGCCATACAGCAAATACTAAAAAAACTGACTTATATCCTGTTCCTCCTCACTCCCGCCATAATCCCATGTAATGGAATTACAGATGGTTTTATTTACTGTTTTATACTTTTAAATCTTTACAACACACAGATAGCCACCAAGATACTCACTAGAGGGGTTGCTCTATAGCAATGTTTTCAACCTTTTTTATTTCATGGCACACTTTCACCTGTAGTTAAACTTCTGTAGCACACTTACATTATGTTGATCAAAAAAAAGAATATACTTATCATGCTTTGGATTTCTTTCAAAAAATAATTTATTTTTAATTTTTTAAATTGTTTTTTATTAAATCATAACTTTGTACATTGATCAAAAATAATTTAATTAATGATCTTTAAAAACTTACATGGCACATCTCAGATCCTCCTGTGGCACAGTAGTGTGCTGCGACACACCAGTTGAAAATCAGTGCCCTACAGTGTGCTATAAACCATAAACATATGTAATTTATAAATCATGAAGTTCTTAAACAATTCTGCACTACTCAAACTTGCAGCACACAGTGCAGACACCTGCACCGTAGATGCTCCTCCTCCTCTCCACCGTTTTTTCCTTAATGCTACTTTACAATAAATCTGTGAAAACCTACCAATATATCTTCAGCACTCAAATATCTTTTAATGTGCTTTGGGAGTAGTTTTAATCTTTCCTTGGGGCTTAAAAAATCAGTTACTCAAGAAGTCAGAGAAGGGTGCGCATGTTTGCGCTTGTTTCTGTCTATTTGAGCCATATTCCAATTCCCAATGTGGTAAAAACATAGCTTCCAGAGTTAAACTAAAAATACCAAACAGTGTAAGAGACAAAACTGTTTCTATAATACTGCCAGATAACAAATGAAATCTATAAAGGTTCTTTCTTAGAAATAAAATAAAATTAGAAGTTCCAATTACATCACAGTCATAGAACATAGAAACCTCAGTGCAATAAAAGAATATATGAGATATAGTGATGGGTAAAAATGATAGAAAAACACAGAGTAGACTTTGATATATCTCTAATTACTACTTCGTTTCAGACTAATGGTAAAAATTAGTCTTCAGATAGTTGATAACATCAGCCTGTCTGTGCTGGGTTAGTACCAAGATCTGTGGCCAAGCAAATACTTCTAATAAAATTGATTTTCCTTTTTGGCAACTAATAGGCCAGTCAATGATAATGTTGTTTAAGAAAGATTGAGTCATGAGGGAGATGAAGCTTTCCTTCCATTTATTATGTTTGTATTGTCTATATTTGAAAAGAGTTTTCAATAATGTAACCACAGAAGAAATTGCAAGAGAAAGACCTGTTCTGAGAACTAATCTCCAGAAGCTTCAGATGCAGAAGTATGTTAGCAACTGAAACTGAAAAAGCCAAACTATCCCATTAACTGAAGGTAGACAGTAGATATTATGATTGTCATTAACAAAGGAAAACCAAGGCTGGAGGCTACATAAAATGATCATATAAATACAAGGGGGCAATGAAAACACTGTGCCAGGCATATAGTCCCAACCGATCCATCCTGAAAATTTGCATGGAACTTTTACTTTGACTGTAACTGCTGTTTAGGGTGCCGGCCCCATATACCAAGGGTGGTAGGTTCAGACCTGGCCCCGGCCAAATTGCAACAAAAAAAATAGCTGGGTGCCGTGGCGGGAGCCTATAGTTCCAGCTACTCAGGAGGCTGAGGCAAGAGAATCACCTAAGCCCAAGAGCTGGAGGTTGCTGTGAGCTGTGACGCCACAACACTCTACCAAAGGTGACAAAGTGACTCTGTCTCTAAAATTAAAAAAAAAAACACAAAAACTTGTGTTTGGTAAGAATGTTCTATAAAGCCATGTAAGGTAGTTTGGAGATTATCTGTCTTATACCATTCAAACGAACAGAGTACAAGGAAGCCACTAGGTAAAAACTCCAGTCAATGCCTAACTTGGAGACATTTCCCTCAAAAATACCCCCAAACAGGCCAGGTGCAGTGGCTCATACCTACAATCCCAGCACTTTGGAGGCTGAAGCAGGAGTATAGCTTGAGGCCAGGAGTTTGAGACCAGAATGGGTAACACAGTGAGATCCATTCTCTATAAAAAATAAATGTATTAGCCAGGCATTATGGCATGCACCTGTAGTCTCAGCTACGTGGGAGGCTGAGACAGGAGGATTGCTTGAGTGCCCAGGGACTTGAGGCTGTAGTGAGCTATGATCGTGCCACTGTACTTCAGCCTGGGCAACAGAGTATGACTTTTTCTCAAAAACAAAAAATAAAAATAAAATGTCCCCAAACAAATTAAAGCAAGTAAGACATGACTGCACCAATAGTTTTCATTTTTATTGTTTGGCTATAACTTAGTGGTGGTAACAGTTGGGGAAAATGGAGATTGCAAAGATAACCTCACAGTTGATACAGAAGAATAAATAAGCAAAAATAGCAAGGAAGATTCTGAATGAGTACCAAAGGAATCTGTTCATCCAGATATTAAGATCTATCTTTTAAGTTACATATATAGATAGATGGATTTTTTTTTTTTTTGAGACAGAGCCTTAAGCTGTTACCCTGGGTAAAGTGTCATGTCATCACAACTCACAGCAACCTCTAACTCCTGGGCTCAACCGATTCTCCTGCCTCCGCCTCCCAAGTAGCTGGGACTACAGGTACCCACCACAATGCCTAGCTATTTTTTGGTTGCAGCAGTCATTGTTGTTTGGCAGGCCTAGGCTGGATTCAAACCTGCCGGCTCATGTGTATGTGGCTGGCACCTTAGCCACTTGAGCCACAGGCGCCAAGCCAGATTTTTTTTTTTTTAAGACAGAGTCTCACTTTGTCACCCTCCATAGAGTGCCGTGGCATCATATTTCATGGCAACCTCAAATTCTTGGAATCAAGCCATTCTCTTGCCTCATCAGCTTAGTAGCTGGGACTATAGGTGCCCACCACAACGCCTGGCTATTTTATTTATTTTTTTGATGGTGTTGTATAGGTTTGGGTTCGAACCTGAGCTGGGTTCGAACCCAACATCCCTGGAGCATGTGGCCGGCGCCCTTACCACTGAGCTACAGGCACCTGTAAGTCAGCAGCTAGGGTGCCAGCCACATATACCAGAGCTGGTGGGTTTGAACCAGGTTTGAGCCCCGGCCTGCCAAACAACAACTATAACCAAAAAATAGTCAGGCACTGTGGTGGGCACCTATAGTCCCAGCTACTTGGGAGGCTGAGGCAAGAAAATGCCTTAAGCTCAAGAGTTTGAGGCTGCTGTGAGCTGTGATGCCACAGAGCTCTACTGAGGGAGACATGGTAAGATTCTGTCTCAAAAGGAAAAAAAAGAACTCTAACAACTCTAAAACAAAAAGACAAATGACTCACTTTAAAATAGGCAAAAGATTTGATTAGACATTTCTTCAAAAAGACATACAGTTAACAAGTATATAAAAAAAAACCTCAGTATCATTAGTCATTAGGAAAATGGAAATCAAAATCATACCATAATGAGATCATTTCATACTTACTAAGAAGGCTACTACAAAAAGGGAAAATAAGAAATACTGGTGAAGATGTAGTAAAATTAGAAGTGTGGCATAGTTGGTGAGTTCCTAGAGGTTCCTCAAAAAGTGAAACATCAAATAACCATATAGGACCAAGCAATTCTACTCTTATGTATATAACTAAATTCTACTCTTATGTAAAAGAACTAAAAACAGATGTTCAAACAAAAGACAGGTACACATATGTTCATAACAGCATTATTTAGAATTACCAAAAGGTAAAAGCAATGCAAGTGTCCATCAACTGATAAATGATTAAACAAAATATGGGATAGACTGGCTTGGTGCCCATAGTACAGTGGTTACAGCATCAACCACATACACCAAGGCTGGTGGGTTCAAACCCAGCCCAGGCCAGCTAAACAACAATGACAACTGCAACAAAAAATAGCCAGGCATTGTGGCGGGTGTTTGTAGTTCCGGCTACCTGGGAGGCTGAAGCAAGAGAATTGCTTAAGGCCAAGAGTTGGAGGTTGCTGTGAGCTGTGATTCCATAGCACTTTACTGAGGGCAACATAGTGAGACTATCTCAAAAAAAAAAAATATATATATATATATATACACACACATATATATGGGATATACATGCAATTCAATCATAAAAAGGAATGAAATACTGTTACATGCTACAACATGAATATACTTTTGAAACATGCTAAGGGAAAGAAACTAGACACAAATGACTATGTATTTTATAATTCCATTTATATAAAATATCTATAATAGGCAAATCCTAAGTGACGGCTTGACAGATACAGGGTTTCCTTTTGGGGTGATAGCAAGGTTATAGAACTATACAGCAGTGATGGTTACATAAAGTACCAAATGCTACTGAATCGTACACTTCAAAAAGGTTAATTGCAAAAATTTTATGTCACATGAATTTTACTTCAATAAAAAAATAAAAATAAAACAAAAAAAAGCACCTCTTCATCCCTTACCTGACAGTTAATATCAGCTCTACATTGTAGTAAGACTGTGACTAGTTCCTTATGTCCTCGATCACATGCCCAGTGGAGTAGAGCTCTGCCCTAAAAAGACAGGAAAACTTTCATGAGGAGGCATGAAAAATGACCTATAAGGTACAATGTGTACTACTCAGCTGATGGGTACACTAAAAGCTTGTATTTCACTACTACATGATAAATATAAAATGGAATTCAACTTGTATCCCCTAAAGCTATTAAAATTAAAAGGGATTTTTAAAAATATGTTTTAAGAGAAACAAAAAAATATATAAAATTTCTCTAAGAATGACTGATTATACAAGTGTGCTATGGGAAAAGCAACAGGCAACCAACTGCAAGCCCTGAGTTCTACTTCTGGATCCACTGTGTATTAGCCCAGTGACTTCTTTCAGCCAAATCAGCTTCCTCACCTACAGAGTGGAGATGATGGTAATAACAAAGACAGTATCGATAATATGTACTGAATAAACAGACTATAAGAAAATGCTCTGTAAATTGTACTTTATAATAAAATATAGTTTTCTAAAATTTGGTTCACTTCTAAGAAGAAAGAAATCTTATGAATAAAAAAAAAAGAGCACTTAAAACCTAGGTAGGACTCTAATTGAAATGTACTATATCTGATTTTCCTCAAGTTTATTCTTTAAAAAGAATATTTAACTAATTTGAAAATAGGATTCTCCTTAATACTGCATTCTGAAATATCTCAGAAACACCAGTACAATTTACTAGGGTCTCTCATCAAACAGTTGACTGTGAAAGCCACTTGTAAGATAGAATGGATGATTAACTATTAAGAGATAAAGTATTAAATATGAAATATTAATTTTAACCATGGTCTACCAGACTCACAGTTACTACTACACATGTAATTTCTATTCTCTACTGTTATAAAATTTTGGTCTAGTTCGTGAAAGCAGCCTAGCTGGTCAAAAGGAATAAATAAAACGCTAAAAGCTAAGGGCTTTTCTTAAGAAATGAGTGATGTCTGGCTTAACACTGCTTTTTGAGGGTGGTAATGATGTTGTCTTTTATAAAGAATGGAATGTTTTCCCACATTAAGTTGAAATCCCTGCTTTATGTCATTTTAGATAAGATTTAAACAGACATAGGCTGGGACAAGGATGACTCTAAAAAGCACCTTTCAAGAAAGCTTTTCTAAAAAAAAAAAGAAAGCTTTTCTAAACCTACCTATATTCTTTTTCACCATTCAGATTCTCTTTGCATACCTATTAGTTTAACTAATTAAACTAGGATCTAACCTTTAAATAACAACAACAGAATGAGAAAACTTCTTCCCTACAAACTGTTCTCTTCTTTTGCTTGATTTATTTTTATTTACCTGTGAATATCTGTTTTCCCAATAGGCTTATAAAAAATTCTAAAAAGAAGGCAAACAAAAAATTTGAAAATGTGGGCAAATTAAAACTGTTTTATTTTACCTTCTTCAGAGCTAAGAGCTTTTAATAATGGAGACAATTCCAAAAATCTAGTAAAAAACATACTGTTGAGGACCAAAACAGAGTTTCCCATGTTAAAATTTTTGTAGCTCTAATGATAACTACTGTTACTAGCTTAATAATTCAAACATCCTCCATATGAACAATGAGACATTTTATTTATTTATTTATTTTGGCCAGGGCTGGGTCTGAACCTACCACCTCCGGCATATGGAGCCAGCACCCTACCCTGGTGAGCCACAGGCACCAGCCCAGGACAATGAGACATTTTAATGAAACTCTCTGAACAAACACCAAAGATTAAAATGTTGTGTTTTTTTGTTTTTTGAGACAGGGTCTCACTATGTCGTCCTCTATAGAATACTGTGACATCACAGCTATGAGCTGTGATGGCAGGTACCTGTAGTCCCAGCTACTTGGGAGGCTGAGGCAACAGAATCACTTAAGCCCAAGAGTTTGAGGTTGCTGTGAGCTGTGATGCTACAGCACTCTACCCAGGGCGACATAATGAGACTCTGTTTCAAACAAACAAAAAAAAGATGTATAGGTAATTTCTACCTCTCAACCAGGTTCTCAATTTCTCCTTAGGTTTGACCCATTATGGTTACATCAACTAATGCTAAAATATAAATCCCTAGCTGTTTCAATGGCAAAGCAGACAAGCAACACGTTTTACTGTTAATGGGAGTTATAATTTAAATTTCCCTTATGTGGTGCCAAAAATTTACTTTAGGGGAAACACCTATGACTGGACCTCAGTAGTGATTTTCACTTTGGATATATTTTCCAGAAGGGTGGCACACATATAGCAACGTTTTAAGAAGGATGATGTGCTCTCAGACATTTGCACTACGCTTTTTAACACGTTTTTGACCTGCAATGCAATTAATTTTTGTAACACATTATTTTAATGGTACACTAATTAACCTTGAATTAGAATGAATTCTCTGACAATGACTTTCTGTAGCAGTGCTGAAGATATCTACATTAAGACCATCTACTGATTAATATTTTCTGCAGCACTACAGTACTCATAAACAAGAGAATTAAACATACTTATAAATATATTAAACAAATCAGACTTTGAAATTTTTACCTACAAGATGCTCTATATTTAAATGAACAAAGACCAGCATGCCAAGGAGTCTAAGTGTAACTTCTATTACTTCTTGAATTTATAAAGTTCCCGTAACATGTTCTAATTTAAGACTATTATTCAAGTAATAACGTAACCAGTAATTTGCAGAGATGCTATCCTTATAACTAATTATGACAAAATCAAGAAATAAACACCTGCATTTTCTTTACTTCCTTTGTTAACCACAAACATACCTAATAAAATTGTTATTTTATTTTTAACAGCTTTATTGACATATAATTGATATATGGTAACTTATACATATTTGAAGTGTCCAATTCAATAAGTTTAGCTATCGGTACACTCTTGTGAAGGCATCTCCACAATCAAGGTAGTGAACATATTATCCATTGTTTCTAAAAGTTTCCCATGTCCCTTTGTAAGACCTCCCTCTCACCCTCAAGCAACCACTGACTGCTCTCTGTTACTACAGATTAGTTTGCATGCTTTGGACTTTCATATTATATAAATAGAATCATACAGTTTGTACTGAAAAACAAAGAATGCTTCACGAATTCACGTGTCATCCTTGCACAGGGGCCAAGCTAATCTCTGTATTGTTCCAATTTTAGTGTATGTGCTGCTGAAGTGAGCACTATTAAATTATTTAGATAAAGGATATCATAATCTATCCTCCAGAAATAAAACCATTAGGTATGCATTAAAGTTATATAGCTATATTTGCTTAAAGACTTTATCCAAATTTATGAATTCTTTTTACCTATTTGTACAGGTAGCTATCTTACCTTTTCCCATGAGTGATATAATCTCTTATAAATGTTAAAGTTAAATTTACTATCACAGCTACCTCAAAAAGTAGAAACAATTCTTTCTTCGTTTCCAGTTTTTAAAACTCTTCTGAAAAAATAACACAGAAGTATTTAGGAGATTGCTGGTAGTAGGGGTTAGGGCTGGAGATCATTATTAGAAGGAATCTTTGTTAGGCCATTGGAAGACCACAAAGTACTGTTTGGAAAGCTCTGGATGAATTCTGTATTTGATAAATCAAATACAATAAAACACAGTGAGAAAAAAAGTGTTCTCATCTATTAACCAAAGGTGCTAATACTGTCCTACTTCAGACAGACAAATGACTCTAAAGTGCTTTGAAAGTACAGGGTAGCAGCTAACCTATTAAGTGATATTACTTTTATACCTTTTGGAAAAAACAGAGAGCAGGTCTTAATATTTTACATGCTTCTTTGATTATCACTAGTTACTTGTCCTTAAACCATGTTGAATGCTTTTTAATTAGATTTTCTCCTGGCCATCACAAAATTAAATGAAAAGTGGTTTTATTATAAAATGAGTTGATGTTCTTACAGTATTTTGAGATCGAAGTATGTATATCATATATACAGTAAATAAAAACATGGCAAATTTGGTATATTTAAGTTTGTAAGAGTCGTCACTTTGCCATTCTATCAAATATGCATGGTCATATTACTGTCTAATTTGCAAATGAACACCATAAACTACGTGGATCTGAATTTCTCTCTGTAAAAAATCTGGGTTTCAATTTCTAATTGTAGTAGGGATTAACTACTAACAACCTATAATGTCTCTATCTCTTTCATCCTACGCCTATCTTCTCCCCTTTGCAGTATCTTCTGTGGCAGATGGCCACAGTGTGCACTCCCCTACCTGCAAATGCCAAAAATTACACAATGGCTCCTACTTCCCCCACCAAAATGAAATGACAATGCTGTTTCAAAAACTCATACAGGAGTAAGACAGGGAAAGAGTTTAAGATCTCAAGATATACCTAGCATGGAAGCCAGCAGCACCTGGGGAATGATTTATTTACCAGTATTAAAAAGAAAACCACACACTAATATGCACGATATACACACTTCAAACTGGTAACTGTTTGATCCTTTGCTGATTAAGATCTAGGGTAGGGAGAGCTGGTGTTCCTAAGTTTTCAGGGAAATGAAAAAGATGTAAATAAAATACACTAGTTTAAGCCGGGTGTTGTGGTGGGTGCCTGTAGTCCCAACTACTAGGAGGCTGAGGCAAGAGAATTGCCTAAGCCCAGGAGTTAGAGGTGGCTATGAGCTGTGATAGCACGGCACTCTACCAAGGGTGATAAAATGAGAGTCTGTCTCTACAAAAACAAACAAACAAAAAACACTACTTTAAGAAAAAAAAACTCTTCACAAATATTTCCCAAGCCATAATGTTAGTGACTTAAGGATAAAAGAATAAATGAGAGAGATAGTATTTCATCATCTATAAAATAGGTAATAACAGCATTATAATATTAGGAAGTTGCTGAGAAAACAGCCCAGGGATGCATGGTATATTCACATGATAAAACATTACTCAGCAATGTAAATGGAAGCACCAAACTATATAACAATACGGATAAATCTCGGAAACATGCTCAATGAATGAAGTCTTACAAATAGAAGAGTATATAGGTATAATTCTATTTATATATAAAGTTCTAGAATAGCGGTTCTCAACCTGTGGGTCACAATCTATAGGAACTGTATTAAAGGGCTATGGCTTTAGGAAGGTTGAGAACCACTGTTCTAGAACAAGACTAATTAGAAGCAAGACTAATCTATGATAAAAAGAATATCAGAACAGTGGAGGCTTGGCGCCCATACCACAGTGGTTACAGTGCCAGCCACATGTACCAAGGCTGATGGGGCCAGCTAACCAACAATGACAACTGCAACAAAAAAATAGCCAAGCGTGGCGGGTGCCTGTAGTCCCAGCTACGTGGGAGGGGGAGGCAAAAGAATTGCTTAGGCCCAAGAGTTGGAGGTTGCTGTGAGCTGTAATGCCACGGCACTCTACCCAGGGGGACAGCTTGAGCTCTGTCTTAAAAAAAAAAAAAAAAAAAAGAATATCAGAATGGTGGTTATCTTTTGGTGGTTAAGAGAAAAGATTGGTTGGGAAGAAACATAAAAGAACTTTCTGGGGTGATAGCAACGTCCTTTCTCTCTTTTTTTAAACAGGTCTCACTTTGTCACCCCTACCCCCCAAAATGTGTGGTGATGTTATAGTTCACAGCACCCTCAAACTGTGATTCTCTTGCCTCAGCCTCCCAAGTAGCTGGGACTATACGCATCCACCACAACACCTGGGTATTTTTAGAAATGAGGTCTTGCTCTAGCTCAGGCTGGTCTCAAACTTGTGATCCGCCCACCTTGGCCAGTCAGAGTGCTGGGATTATAGGCATGAGCCACCACGCCTGGCCTTAATTTTTCTATTTTTAGAGACAGAGTCTCAAGCTTGCTCAAATTGGTCTCAAACTCATGAGCTCAAGGGATCCTCTTGCCTTGTCCTACCAGAGTGCCACAAAATTGCACACTTAAAAATGGGTGAAATGTTAAATTTTGTTTACTTTACTATAGTAAAAAAATATATATATATTAACTTGCCAAAGCTCATAAGATTTAAACTACTGTCACTCTTTTCTGATTTTGTATTAAATATGAATTTCTAATGTAAAGTATAACCACAAGTTTGATTTTTAAGTGGCACTGTCTGAATTAATGTAAATGAGCATAACAGTTTCTTTTCTCTTCTTTTTTTTTTTGAGACAAGAGTTTTACTATGTCACCCCCAGTAGAGTGCCATGGCGTCACAGCTCACAGCAACCTCAAACACTTAGGCTTAAGCAATTCTCTTGCCTCAGCATCCCAAGTAGCTGTGGTGTCCACCACAACGCCCAGCTGTTTTTTTGTTGTAGTTGTCATTGTTGTTTAGCTGGCCCAGGCCAGGTTGGAACCCACCAGCCCTGGTGTATGGGGCTGGCACTGTAACCACTGTGCTATGGGCACCAAGCCTATAGTGCAGTAGTTCTCAACCTGTGGGTCGTGACCCATAGGAACTGTATTAAAGGGCCGTGGTATTAGAAGGGTTGAGAATCACTACTATAGTGTATTTCTTAATCATTAGTGTGAATAAACAAAGTTCCTTCCTATTGATACCTTAGTCAACTACACAACCAAAATGACGTATACTCTAATGGAGAAAGTTATTTAAGAGGATGTAGTTTTTTCTTCCTTCCTTTCTCAAATCTTAAATAAAAGCGTAAATTTAGCCTCAGTATACTGACCCTGCCTCTTAAATCTTCTGCTTTTCTGTTAAGTTAATACTGTCGCTTTTGTCAGAGTTTACAGCAGCTTTTCAAGCCAAAAGCATGTAAATTATATTCTGACATGAGCCACAGATTTAAAACCAAGCAAGAAAGGAAAGGAATGGGAGTCAAGAGAAAGATGACTTCCTTCCAAGTATTTGAAAGAATCAACAGACATATAGAAAACTACTAATGATAACAATTATACCATCAAAAAGACAGAAAGGAAAAAACTAAAGAAGCAGCTCAATGAAAGAGGAATCTGGGAGTGCATTAAATAGGAATCCATAAAAAAACAATGAACTGTATGTGAATGCTTCTGGGGAGACCCATGATAGACAGCTGCACTGTAATAATGTCATCTACTTTGCTAAAATATTATGTTGCTACATTTGTTCTAAAACAAATTTATATTATGCAAAGATTTAAAATACTATTTAAATATTATTAATAAGCATGTATTTAGTGTATACTGTATATGGCACTGATCTGAGAAGTACAGGGTGTGACAAGAATTATATAGACATAATTTGTGCCTTATGTTTGATGAGAAATATTCTGCTCATATTTTAAATATACTTTACAAATTATTTAAATCATTCTTTCCCCCTAGAAGATATTGTCTTGGAAGAACCATAAATATGTACCTTGAAAAATCTAATACATAAGATACCTTCCTGAATTGTAACTGTAACTATAATATTTTTTTCTTTTTTTTTAAACCTTTTTTTCCTACAATGTGAAATATAATGCCTTAATTACTATACCATGGTAGGAAATACCAGGTAATTTTCCCAAATTAGAAATACATGCGTTACTATTTTAGCACAGGTTGAATCTCCCTTATTCCAAATGCTTGGGGCCTGAAGTCTTATAAATTTCGGATTGGTTCTAATTTTGGAACATTTGCATTACACACTTACTGGCTGAGTATCCCTAATCCAAAAATCTGAACACAAAATGCTCCAACAAGCATTTTCTCTGAGTGTCATGCCAACACTAAAAAATTGTGGATTCTGGAATATTTCAAATTTTAGATTCTTACATTAGGGAAATTCAACCTATGATAATTATGATTTAATTGAATAAAAAATGCAGGCAGTCCCCTGGTTACAAACAAGATAGGTTCTGTAGGTCTGTCCCTAAGTTGAATTTGTATGTAAGTTGGAACAGGTGTACTTCCTTGTTACCTATAATAGCCTCTCAGTTTAAGCGTGAGTTATGTGTAAGTTGGATGTTTGTAACTCAGGGACTGCCAGATACAATGACTTTACTTATGCATATTAAGATGACTTTATTATATTATAAAATATAAATAAATTTTATTTAAAAGGCATTTCACATGTTATAATACTTTGATCCAAATGCATGCATTTCTGATAATATAAAAATTTATAAATTACAAATTTATAATAATTTATCTTTAAGGTCTTGCTCTGTTGCCCAAGCTGGAATACAGTGGCCCAATCATAGCTTACTGCAACATCAAACTCCTGGGCTCAAGTGATCCTCATGGCTCAGCCTCCTGAGTAGCTGAGACTATAGGCACACACCACCAGGCCCAAGTATGTGCTCAGGTTGGTCTCAAACTCCTGGCCTCTAGTGATCCCCTATTATGGCCTCTCAAAGTGTTAAGATTACAAATATGAGCCACTGTGTTTGGCCCTAAATTTGTAATGATGCAATAATTTATTGTGTTTATTTCAACGTATGGGAGTGCAAATATAGATTATCATTTTATGACTATCATTAAAATTCTTTATGTGTTCATGGTAAATTTTAAGTACAATAAATTTTAGTTATCTAAGGGTAAAACTAAAATTAGGTTGAACCTGATGGATAAACATTTTAAGTAAAATATGTATACCATCCCAAAGAATCCTAGGCAATCGGTACAGAAATATCTCAAGTCCAAATACCAGACACAGAAAGAACTAGATGGTCTTTTAAAACTATGATTATTACAGTAGTGTGCCTGTCCTCCCAGCTACTTGGAAGGCTAAGGCAGGAGAATTGCCTGAGCTTAGGAGTTTCAGCAATTTGATGCTACAGTGAACTATGATAACGTCATTGCACTCTGTACTCAGCCTGGGCAACAGAGTGAGGCCCTGTTTCACACAGTCCATGCACGGGAGAATTTCTCCTTGAGCTCAGCAGATACTTGCAAAACAAGGATAACTGATGTTGTCTACAATGTGTCCAGTAATGAGCTGGTTCCCACCAAGACCTTAAACTGTATAGTGCTTACTGGCAGCACACTTTATAGACAGTGGTGTGAGTCCTACTGTGCACTTGCCCCTAGGCTGCAAGAAGGGGGCCAACCTGACTCCTGAGGAGGAAGAGATTTTAAACAAAAAACGATACAAAAAATTTCAGAAAAAAATATGGTAGGAAAAAGAATGCCAAAATCAGGCGGCGCCTGTGGCTCAAAGAGGTAGGGTGCCAGCCCCATATGCCGGAGGTGGCGGGTTCAAACCCAGCCCCGGCCAAAAACTACAAAAAAAAAAGCAAAATCAGCAGTGTTCTGGAGGAGCAGTCCCAACACGGCAAGCTTCTTGCATGCATTGCATCAAGACCAGGACATTGTGGCTGAGCAAGGGCTACGTGCTAGAGGGCAAGGAGCTGGGGTGAGGAAAATCAAGGCCTGGAAAGGTAAATAATTCCTCTCATCTTAGTTCATATAACAAAGGCGTTCATTGGCATAAAAAATATAAGATAAAATAAAATAAAGACCAAGGAAACATTCTTTTATTGATAAGGGGGTAGAAACTTAGCTAGAAACTTATTTTTGAGGTTATACAGTTTTTAGCCCATCATCAAGGCTTAGTAAATTATTTTATTTACTAGAGCCTTAAATGTCAGGAAGCAATACTATTTATTTTACTTAGGATGTTAAGTTTGATTTCTGATCTTAAGCTCTCATCTCCCTTATGTTCCTAAATTAATTCATACAAATCCCTGATTAATAATAAACGGCCTGCCATCAGTATTCAAAGCCCAGCCTGAGTTGTCATGGCTGAGAGGGCAGAAATCTGCTTGGAGCAATGAGAGAACCCAACTGAATTCTTGGCGTCTCAGTCTATGAATGTGTAAGCACTTCATCTGTTCATGGAAACACAATGTTCTGGCAGGCTGGGGGTAAAGGTGGCTGCATGGGTAACAAACTGGAAATGTTGGGAAGCAGTACCACATTAAAGTAACCAATCAGTAGAAGCAATACATTTTTCAAGTTTTCCTTTCATTTTCACAAAAAATTGTGGTATGTAGTGTAAGCTATTTGTGTTCTAGACACTTACTCCACTGCTGTCTGTCTGATGATCTCTGCAGAGGTCGCATGTGGATTTGATTTTTAGTACTATTTTATAAAAGAAATCATTGCAAATCAGAGCGTAACACAGGAAGGCCAAGTAAAAATTGCTATCCTCCTCGTCCTCCTTTTTTTTCTTTAAAATTATCCTTCTAAAATCCAGTGGTGCAAAGAGCTCTCGCCCAGACCTGATTTCTACTTACCAGTTACATGCTTTTGAGCAAGTAATTGTACACCTCTGAACTGTAGTTTGTCTGTAAAATGAATATAATATCTATCTTAATTAGAAGATTTTTGTAAAGATAATATGGTAATAAGGGAAATTTATACCCTTATAATTTATACTATAAATTATAACACACTATATAAGGTATTATGTGAAACACAAAAATATTAATAGGGATAACATAGTACATATAGCCCATAATTTCCAGGGAAAAACTGTGACCCTGAAAAGATAACTGGCTTCCTCACCTATCTCTTCATTACATCATCTTTTCTTCATTTATACTATTAAGAATAATCAAAATAGCTAAAGTTTATTGATTGCCTAAACTGATCTAAACCTTTTGAAATATTAGATAAACACAAAGCAAGCAAGAAAGAGCATGTCAGAATATCTAAATGAGAGGGTGTCACTGATGAAATGGTGATACATAGTATAAGTAAGAAATAAATGCTTTTTCACTCTGGGAGGCCAAAGCCAGCAGACTGCCTGAGCTCAGGGGTTCAAGACCAGCCTGAGCAAGAGCAAGACCCTATCTTTAAAAATAGCTGAGTCCTGGCTCGGCGCCTGTGGCTCAAGCGGCTAAGGCGCCAGCCACATACACCTAAGGTGGTGGGTTCAAATCCCCAGCCCGGGC